ATGGGCTTAAAATAAATTTAAATTTAACCTTTTCCTATCGGCTAGTATTTTTTTGGGGAGGAGGGAGGTATTTAAATGAATTTAAAGAGCTTTCCTCCAAACAACATGTCTTTTGGTGCCATTTTCTCCTCTTAACCTGAAGTGTGCATAAATTAACCTATATGGGCAAGAATTATAAACATTCATTTTCACAGGTTTCTAAATATTTATATCTGAAAGAGCTCTTTAATGAGACTCCTTTTTCTATGAAAGCATTTGTCTTCTTCATAACCCAAACTCTAGGACAAATTTTAAATTTACACAAATAAATATTACTACATTTCAGAAAATTTAGGTGAATAAGTAAACTTCAAATGACTAATATTAACTAGCATAGAGAGAATCTGAACTTGTTGAAGTGTCAAAACACCAGTAGGGAATTGCCAGGCAAGTAATCTGGTCTAAATATTGGTGAAAAATGAAGCTTGAAGTTTTGGAGACATTTTGTCATCATAAGAAAATCATTTCAGAAAAACTTTCTTTAAATTATAGTAAAATGACTAACATGTATCCTAAAAGTCTTTCTATAAAAAGTCTGGTAATTTTATAATGCATAGGTAGAAATAAAAGCTTTCTAATGGCAAACAAACACAAACATATATAAATTTTAAAAATGAAATGCATAGTCTCCCCTCAAATCAGCATATTATTCATTAACCTGATCATTCATTCATTCATTCAGTTATTTATGTATTTATTTCATTCAACAAGCAGTTTCCAGGCATTTATGTTTAGAAGTATCGTAGGTATTACACACAGTAACAATTAAAAAAGACAGGGCCCCTGTGTTCACACAGCTTGCCATTAACACGTATGGAGGAGATACGTTAATATGTAATAGGTTAAATATTCATTTTTATCTTCTACTCAGAGAAGAAATTCTATGCTCAAGTATAAAAAAATCTTATGCCATCACAAAAGGAGTAAATGGACTGGCAGCACGTCATTTGTTACGTGAAGTTATGCAGTTGTCAGTAGCATTTTATAAATTGTGAAGTGCTAAATAAATGTCAGCCAGCAGGTTTTAAAATGGCACAAGAAACTTGTGTTAGTGGCTATAAAATTCACCAGTTCATAGGAAACAACTCTCTTCTTTAGATGGCTCTATATAATAAAATTACACATCTTCTGTAATACATGTGATTCTTACAGGGTTCTGAAATCCCACTAGCTGCGCATGACTGCTTGGAGTATTCACAGCTTCTTGGTTGCCTGCTACAGCCTCTGGAATTATGGTAGGATTCAAGACAGCTTTTTTCTCCTTTAGATTAAGAACCAACCCAAGCTCTGGCAAGGGTAAACAGGAAGGTCTACTAAGGCCAAAAAGTGTGAAGTACAAGTCCACGGCACCACACCGTAACCTCCAGTCATGCGAAGTACCTAAGAAGCAAATAATAAAGAAATAAAAGTCAACATGCACATTTATCCATAGATTATTAACTGTTCCACAACCTGTACACATGGAATTTCATAACTGAAAAAAATTTTATCACAACTTTCTTCTTACAAAATGAATACCAGGAATCAACTAAAATTCTAATATTCCAAAAATAGTATTCTTTTCAGCCTTAAATCTTCCCTTTAATTGTTTCTCCTCAGTAATTATTCCACATTCATTCATTCATTCTCTGTTAATCTTGTCTGATTCTCTTCATTAATAGCCTGTTAGTAAGACAGCACTCCATGAGCCTCACATACTCTATCACTGAAACAAATTCTCCTATCTGTAGGACTTATTACTTTCAGATTTTAAATATGGTAAGAAACCATTCAACTACTTGACATAACACAATTCTAAATTTGGACTTATTGCAGAGAAAGAAAGTATTTTGGTAAAAACTCTTACATTTGTGTTATTGTACTAGGTATTTACTTAAAATAAAATAACAGAAACAAGCAAACCACAGGGATGGCAACAGGTAGTAAGCATGTACTTGATCAGAACATGACTGCCTGGATAGAAATTCAGTTTAAACTAGTTGACAGACTACAGGCAAATTCTTTTAATTTCTCAGAGTTTCCATTTTTTCATCTCCAAAATAAAGAGTTTTGGTCTCAAATCATACCTTACCCCATAGCAATGACAGACCAGAGCACACTGATATCAGGGTTCTTTCTCACTTTCCTGTTCTCCCAGTAGAGCACTCCAGGTAGGCATTGCTATCAAATAGAACTGACTGAAAAAAGGAAATTTATTATCTAGGGTTAGACAATCTCTCTGGTTCCTAGTCAGAATTTTAAGCGACCAGGAGAATTTAAACAAGTGAACAGAAGGAATGTGGAAATTCTTAATAAGAAAAATAAACTCTATAAATACCTAATTTTGACTAGGAACTATGTTTCAAAAGAGTACCATAATATTTAAAAAGGAAAAACAAAAAGGAAAAAAATTTGGACATCATAAATATTAAACTTTGTGGTTTTCAACAACAAATTATTAGAATAAGTAAATAAATTATAATCTGATAGTGATTCTGGTATGATTTACTCCAACAGATAAGTAACTATTAATTATATGCAAAGGAAATCTATAATGGGAGAAATTATAAATTTACTGGGTTCATATATCTCTAAATATGGAAATAAGCTACCACATACTGCTAACAGAAGTCATCAGCCAGTCACCTGCTCCTCAATGCTCACAGCATAAAACAAACTCCTAAGGCCCTTCACCTTTGGATCCTAATCTATGTAAACACTCTTTCAGAACTTGAGGCTTTTAAACATAACTGCTCTGCCTAAAAAGTCTTTATCTGACTGGCAAACTGCTTTCCACTCCTCAAGAGCTAGCTCAAATGCTACCTCTCCATGTCTAGCATTCCAGACAGGGTTCGTGCTCCTTTCTTCGGATTTCCTGAGTAGTTTGTTCTCTGTATTTTAGCAACTACCTCTTCATATTATATCTGTTCCTACATTTCTTTTTCCATTATACTAAATTAATACACATGAAACAGCAATGTAGCAAACAGAAAGTGCTCAAGAAATGACTAGTGAATAAATTAATGTGTGAAATCTTTAAAAAGGACTGCCCCTGGACGATGTGATATTTTCAGTTAAAAATAAACCTATTCCTGTAATCCCAGCGCTTTGGGAGACCAAGGCAGGAGGATCATTTGAGCCAAGGAGTTCAAGACTGCTTGGGCAACATAGCAGGAACGCATCTCCACAAAAGTAAAAGGAAAAAATAGCTGGGCACTGTGGTACATGCCTGTAGTCCTAGTCACTTGGGAGGCTAAAGTGGGAAGACCACTTGAGCCCAGGGGTTCAAGGAGCAGTGAGCTATGATCACACCACTGCACTCTAGCCTGGGTGACAGAGCAAGACCTTGCTCTAAAAA